CGTGTAAAGTTCTTCTTTATAAATACCTGGTGATCTCATGCTCAGTCACTAGGAGCTCTTCCACTGATCTCAGCAGCTGTTGGATCAGGCTAAAGGTAAAAGGAGTTCTGTGGAGAGAAAAAAAAATGGTGTAACTTTAATATTTTATTTCCATTCTTTAATATTTTAATCATTTCAAGGCTTATTCTTTCAAAGTGATTTGTAAACAGCTCTAAAACAACATGCAGCAAAGATTTGCAAGAAAATTACTTGGGCCAAAGACCTACCCTAGCAGTTAGCTCTTCCATAGGCCCTTGTGCATCTAAGCACAGCACAAGAGGATCTAATGCTGTGCAACTTTTAAATTACTACTTCTTTTGTTTTCCCTCTATTCTTATGAGAAGGAAGAGGAAAAGTATTCTTTGAAATGAGAACAAGCCACTACAGAGAGACAGGAACAGAGCAGAAGGTCCTTGCAGTCCTTACATAAGGAAACCGTTTGTGTACAGTGCTTGTTACCATCTCTGCTGAAGGACGTATGCTTATTTATGTTTTGTTATTGCTCTGCACATATGCTAATAAAAACCACCACAACTCAACTTGCAGGTTGCTGAACATTCGCAGCCATATGGCAGCCATAACCAGTGATACTATTTTTTTCTAGATATAATGCTACGTATTTTGAAAATCAGTAAGGAACACATAAATAACATTAATGATATGACTACATTAAAATGCAAGACTTAAAATATGGTGCCATCAAATATGCAGTTGTTAAGTAGTTATTTGGTGTGCTACCAGACAGAGGAACATTTTGCAACAGGAACAGAAGAAATCATGGCTTTGGGGATTTTCCTTTACAATTCTGAAATTCTATCAGTAGTACACAAGGATTAATGGAGATTTTAAAGAAATTACAGAGAATCACAACAGAAATAATGTGATAATGGCTGTGTAGCTTGAAACAAGTATGCTTTGGAACATTCAGAACAAATGTAATATTTCATTTTGTGTAGCTGTTCTGACTGAAAAGTTAAAATGCAAGGAAATATCAGTCTTTTCAAATTCTAAGAAACTTCCAGAGATAAAAGCTGATATGTTGAATATTTCTTAAGAGGAACCTCAGCATCACACTCAAAATCCTTTCCCTACCCACCTATCATCACCTCCATTAAGTGTATAACATCGGACTCATGCAACACATTTTTGATGAGGTCCTGCAACAGCTAGAAATTGCAGACATACAAGAGACTAGAACTGAATTAAAACAGTCAGCACCTCACTGTTCCCAAAATACTACGATTTTGGGGGGGATCAGGAACAGGCTGCCCAGAGCAGTGGGCATGGCCCCAAGCTGCCAGTGTGCAAGAAGTGTTTGGACACCACTCTCAGACACAGCGTTTGAATTTTGGGTAGTCATGCATGAATCCAGGAGCTGGACCCAATGATCATTGTCGATCCCTTCCAACTTGGGATATTCTATGATTTTGTGATATACGTTTGGCAAAACAATCAAAAGTTTTGGGGCAACATTATTGCCAATAGTTAAGCAGGTTATATTATCCCTAAACATTTCTAATATAAATGCAGACTAGCTGGGAAAACAATCATGACATTCACATGTCTGGGTGGGAACAAATCATCTGTAGGGACTGTGCAGTTGGCTAAGGAGTGAAGTTCACTGATTCTCACAATCCAATGAGAGCTCATTAACACTTCCTCTGACACAGCACACACACTCCTTTCCTCACCTACCACTCACTGTTCTTGTCTTTCTTGTCTCACGCTACAGCTATTTAATTGGTTGATGCGATTGGATTAAAGATTTTGCTCATATTGACTACTGAAACATCCAACTGTTTGAGGCTATGCTTAAGGTTAGAGATTCAAGACCAGATGAGGCCTGACAGGTCCTAAAGTTTTTGGTTTTGTTTTTTCTTTTTTTAAATAACTCAAGGCCTGTTATATAAAACAACCACAATCTAGCTCAGCTAATGGCTGTTAATGGGCTTTCTGACTTTAGCCAGAATAACATCTTAGCTACATGAGTGCTATAGTTCAATTATAAAAGACATAATTGCTTGTGGAAGGCAAGCTTGCTTTCAGCCTGCTACACTGACACTTAGAAGCCCTGCTCCTTGTGAGACTGAATCACCTTCCCTGGGCTCCACAGCAGTTATCGCATACATCCATTGTACTCCTCCTCATTCGCCTTCTTTCCAAGGTGAAAAGATTGTTGTCTCCTGGAAGCCTCTCCAAACAGAACAAACAAAAGTGGCATTGAGGGTGGGCCTTCCCATCTCTGGTGCACCCTCTTGGAAGCCTGAGCCACAGGCGGCGTTAGAGCTGCAGGCACACAGCGGATCAGAAGCAGTTGAGATGCTGCCTGATTTGCTCTCCGCTGTATCTCGAAATAATGTCTTATAATGTGTTATACATTCATTGAACAGTCCACAAGGGACACCAAGAGACTTGTTTTATGTAGCCATCGCTATGATTTATATAGCTAGGTGTGGTCCAGAGCTCCTGTTTTCAGAGTAAGCCTTGAGACAGCAACAAGAACAAAGACAACTCAGGTGTTTTGATTTTGGCATGAGGTAAACTTACTGAGATAATTTCAGGTATGATAAAAGAGGTTTGGTTTCAAGTTTTACTGCAAATAAGTTTGGGTGTTTTTTTTAAAGGATTGTTTTTACTACCCTCTTTTTATTATTTTTTTCCTCAGTTAACTACTCAAATTAAAATAGGAAGGAAAAGGATAGCGCTTTTAGCACTGAAGACCATTTCCCTGTGACCTAAGCTCTGATGCTTAAATCTGTAAATGACCTTGACAGGATGCGAGAGGAGATAGCAGATTTGACACAATGAAACAGCGGGAGACAGCAGATACATTCAAGAGGCTGGAAAAACAGGCTCACCATTCAGAATCTGTATTTGGAAGTAATAATAGTAATAATAAGCTATAACAAACAAATGTCTAACATTATCAGCTTAAGTATAAATGCTATGTCACTGCAGCATCATAAAGGCTTCTGGTCAACAGTATTCATGCAAAGGGAATTTGCATTAATGAAAAAAATACACCCTTCTTCCATTTTGCATCCTCTTGCTCACCCACTGGGGAAAAAATGAGTAAGGCTGAGGGACACAGTATTCTTCCTGTACTTCAAAGCTAGTACAAGGAATAAATTGCCTGATCTGCTGCTGTTTCTGGAAATGTTCACAACCCATAGCTCCATTCTGCCCTCCAGTCAGCCAAACCTTTGAACAAACATGTTTAATTCATCCAGGCTTGGAGGTATTAGGTATGGAGATCTGTAATGTGAATCATCTGACAAGCCAGGGGCACTGACAGTGGCAGCAGAAAACAGGAGAAAGATGGCTGAGAAGGGACTGGATGTTAAGTTCAAGCTGCTGGCAATCAACCAAGAGACACAAAAAAAACCTCATATTCTAGGGCTGGATTTGGTACTACCTTCACACTCCAGGAAGCTGAGAGGCCTTGGCAATTGGTGACATGGGGGAGGGCAGATCCAAATCCAGCTGGGATGTGTTAGCAGAACGGCACCCAGTGCCGCAGCAGTATTAATGATGCTACGGCAGAAAGTAAAGTTCTGGGAGTGGTACAGGAAGAAAGGGGAAATACCAAGAGCCTACTGCCAGGGCATATAAATGTTTTGGGGCTGAGTTCACTTAAGAGGGGTACTGCAAAGCAGAATTTGAGAAACACAGGGCATCTATCAGCTTGCAGCAAGTTTCAAAGCCTTCCTGAGTGACCTCTATCCTTTCTTACTTTCTCTGTTCACCTGTGCATGAAAAGCAGTTTTCTTCTGCCAGATCGTTAATTATAATGACAGATTCAACCGATGTTCACTGCAGTACCCTTGTGTATGTCACCAAAGAGTGACACTGCTTTCCATTTACCCAGGCCTTTTACTTACAGCTCATCAGTCACTTTCTACTCCAGGAACCAATTTCTCATCCATACCCTGTGCCAGTCCTCTTTGAGGACTGGGAGTCCTTGTGTGGGACCACTTCTAGGAATCTCAGGAATGCTGTTCTACCTGGTGCATTTTCTTACACTGGAAGTACAGCTGGATATTACGAAGAATTTCTTCTCTGGAAGAACGTGTGGCAGTGGCACAGGCTGCCCAGGGAGGTGGTGGAGTCACCATTCATGGCGGCATTCAAGAACATCTGGATGTGGCACTGAGGGACATGGGCAGTGGGCACGGTGGGGATGGATTGGGGTTGGATCAGATGGTCTTAGTGGTCTTTTCCAACCTGAATGATTCTGTGATTCTGTGGAATGGCTATTAATTCGAGTTAGTACTGCTAGTCTCTTCTCACCTCAAGGCCTTGGGCAGCCTGAGCTGGTGGTAGCGGTTGGTGCGTGGCCCTGCCCACAGCAGGGAGTTGCAACTGTGGGGGCTCTAAGCTCCTTTCCAACCCTAGCTATTCCGTGATGCACCACGCTTGGCTCACTTTAACTCCCTTTAGAGCATTTTGCACCTCACAAGAAGCAGCCCGACCACTTGCACAACCAGTCACGCTCTCAGAACCAAGGCTCCCCTCAGCACACAGCCCGGCCCGCAGTCACACCCAGCCCTACCTGCCCCCCAGGCCTTCCCGCCCTCGGCGCCCGCCGCCGCGTGACACCGCCCCGCTACCCCATTGGACGCCGCGTGACACCGCCTTGCTTTTCCATTGGCCGCCGCACCCGGAAGGGGCGGTGCGACCGCTGACCCGCGTGTGCGTCGGCTGAGGGGCGGCCGCGGGTGCGGGTCTCGGCGGCGGCCTACCGGCTAGCAGCAAGCCGGCGCCGCGGCTTCCTGCTTCTCCCCGGTTCCCTTCTCCCGCAGCGGCCGAGCTGCGGGGCGGCGATCGGGTAGGCGTGCGCTCGCTTCTCTTCGCGGAGGGGCGGGGCGGGGCCGGCAGCCGCGTGGCGGCGGCTCGGGGCGGGGTCCCGCCGGCTGATTTGTGGCGAGGCGGCGGTCCGCCTGCCTGGCCGGAGGAGATGTGCGATAGCAGCGTGTGAAGTGTCTAAAGTAACTGCCGGGGAATGCGGAGTGCTTGTCTCCTTTGTCGGCCAGAAGCAGTGAGAAGTTAACAATGCAGGGTTTGGCCGCATCAGGAACTCAGTTGGCACAGATGTGAGGATGCTGTCAGTTTGTTTCGTGTTAGAAAGCTGCCTCAGGCCGAGCTAAACCGAGGTGAGCTTACACTCCGAGCAGTGATTGTGGCCGGGCACGTCGCTGTGATGCACAGTTCCATCTGTGCTGCGTGAGGCTGCACGGCTGGGAGAGCACTGTGTGCTGGGGAGGCTGTATGGCTTTTCTCTGGGTACTTTAGTAACTTGAGCAAGGCCTTTTTGCTAGTTCTGGGAGTATATTACAGATTAAGAGGCCAGTTTTATGCGAACTTGGAAGCTTTTTTATTGTTGTTGGTTTTTTTTTTCATTTAATGCCTAATAGGGCACTGCAATGGAGAGTACAGTGTCTGTTACGTTCCTCGTATCGTTTTTCATACTGTTGTGTGAAAGTTATCATCATGGAGTGGAGACAACTACTGTTGTGCAGACACTGGAGAGAACTTTTCCAGAAAAGGCAGCTGGCATTAATGATGACTTGGCAGGATTGAGACAGAAGCATCACCTTCAAGAACTTTTTAATCGTTATGGAGAAAACAACTCTCTGACAATTGAAGGATTTAGAAAACTGATACAGAACATAGGGATAGATAGAATGAAAAGAATTAAAATAGATCACAACCATGATCATGACCACGATCATCACCTTCATCATAACCACATTTCCTTGAGTAAAAACTCTGAGAAGACTGTTTGTCCGAACCACGAATCTGATGCTAACAAAGACCCCAGGAACAATCATTCAAAGGAACCTCATAAAGCAGAAACTGCAGACCATCAGCACAACTTTGTTTACAGTAAGAATGCCGTTAATGAAATCACTGGGTCGATCAACACTACTCCCACAGACGGCAGTTCTGAACTGCAGAACTTGGAACCTGCAGAAGGCAAGTCTGTAGCTCAGGTAGGCCTGGCTGGATCTAACTCCATTAATATCACAAATGGAAGCAGCACGAGTTGGCTTGCAAACATCAAGTCAAACGAATCTCATGTTTCTCCAAAGGAATTGGAAAAAGGAAGTTACCTGTATTCCAAACTTAAAAACACAAATACCCAAGAGGTGAGATGCTCTGTTGTGTTCTGGGTCCATTAGGAGCATTGTTATGGCTTGCTTACTGGGAGCTTAATGTTTAACTGGGTCCAGGCTTTATAGTGTAACTGTGTTCATAGAAGAAAAGTGGAACAATAGCTTTTCTTGAATCATAACTCTTTGGCTTGAAAAAATGTTATGCTCACAAGCTCAGAAAATACACTGTCTCGTTTATGTAATACTCTTTTCTTAGAAGGAAATGCACGTTTACATTAAATATAAACACACATTTGTTTTTATATACTTATTTACTTACTCTAAAATATGCAGTGACATCGAAGAGCTCTATTTAGGCAAGCACATACAAGTTAGAAACACTCTGTAGGAAAACTCCCTTTTACTTTATACAAAAACAGCAAGGGAACTTCAAGTACCCAAGGCACCATGGAGTGAATACTCAAATACTGTTTTCTTGAAATGAATTTCTTGCTGTGTAAGGGCAGCCAAAAACCATGCGTGCATGTGACTGTGACTATAGAGCTTGTACTTTGGTGCACAAGACCAGGAAATAAATAGCATGGGCCCCTGATCTGGAAATAACTGAAGAAGAAAAGTTTTCTGCAAAATGATGTCTGTTACTTTAAGGTAGTGAAAAAGAGTGCTGATGAAGTCAATCATTTTGTTGTAAACAGTTGTTACACGATCTTTCTGCACCAAGAGCTTTAAAAAGCAAGTGTTCCTCTGGAGTGTTAATTGTGTAGTTATTCTAGTTAGTTCAGAGCAGGCATGTGCAGCGTTTGATTAGTGGGTGATGTATCTGTGAGTAATTGCTGCATTCTGCACAATCAGAGCAGAAGTGCTGCTGTGGGAATCAAGGGGAGTACTGAAGCCTGTAGGTCATGGAGTGGAAAGTTCTTTTCTGAGGGAAACGTGTGGTGGTAGTGCTCTGCAGAAGTCTTTCACAGTAGTGACATAAAACAAAGCTTAAGAGCTTTTTGTATTATTCCTTATCCAGCCTCTAAAACAGAGTCAAAACTGTTAGGCTTTTTCTAATCTCAAAACAAACCATCTGTTCTCCTTGTGCTGAGAATGTGTGATAATCACGCATCACCTGTCAGCGCTGCCCAGCTCGCCTTCTGGGCCAGAAGAGAGGATAAAGGTGTAGTTCTTACTGAAGTGATTTGTTACTGCTTTTTAATTACTGTCCGTGTAGCTGCGGTCATGTGGAGTTGCTACTGATTTCAATTAAGATAGGAGATGCAGTCATTTTAAGGTACGGTATTTTGATTCTGGCTAACTTTAAGAAATGTCTTCCCACAGTGCTCCAGTGCATCAAAGCTGATGCAGTCCCATGGAATAAGCACTGAAGTACTGTTGTCTGCCACAGAATTTAGCTATCTCTGCCCAGCTCTTATTAATCAGATTGATGGGAAATACTGCATAGTCCATGCGAGTAGCGAAAAAGCTGAAGCTCCTCCAAAAGGTTATTCTCTGCAAATAGGTAGGTTATTTTTTTTGATGAGAAATAAAAGCCTGCTCAAAACCCATACATGTTATAAATCTCCAAAATGTTTTTCGAAGCTGATGATTTTCTTTTAGGGCTTTTTATCACATGTGGGCATAAGTCTTTATGGCCCAACGCTTGCTAATATCTAATCAGATGATAAGAGTATTTGATTAAAAAAAAAAAAGTTAAGGAAACAACATCTCGTGTAGCAGTTGTTTACATTTTCTTTTTCTTCTTTTAACAGCTTGGATTGGTGGCTTTATATCCATCTCAGTCATCAGTTTCCTTTCTTTATTGGGGGTTATACTGGTACCTTTGATGAATCGTGTGTTTTTCAAATTTCTTCTGAGTTTTCTCGTGGCATTGGCTGTGGGGACTTTAAGCGGAGATGCCTTCTTACATCTCCTTCCACATGTAAGTATTAATTGCTGATTCATTAGTTATTTCAAGAGGGCCATATTGACAGCTGGCTGTATCTATTAGTGGTAGTTTCATTAATTAACATATGCTAGTAAGATAGATTATTTAATATAAATGTATATATTTTTTCTCCTAATAACTTCCTGTTTGGAGCTGTTTGTATTATTTCTGTCAGTCTTATAGCGTAAAACTTCACACCCCTTTCTCTCAAGCTGTATCCTGTTTTCTCAGTCATGCATGCTGCCAAATTGCTCACAGTTTGTCATGCACAAAAATTTTGCATAAATGCTTTTCTAGTCACTTATTGCAGTGCCATCTCTTTTTCCTCCATCAGTTTCATGAACCTTATAGGCAACAGAAATAGTTCACTGTGCTCTTTAGATGGGGAATAGAAAATCCACTGTTTCATGTTGTCAGACATGTATGTTGATTGCTTATCCATTGTAATGGTTTTTGTTTTTTTTTAATCAGAATTGAACATTTCTAAAGTCCTAAAAATACATTACTTGATAGGCTCTGAAATGTTCCATTACTGATAGGTAATACAGACAATAAAATTGGAATATGGTCGTAATATTTCTAAATTTCTTGAAGCTCTTGATCACATTTCTAGACGCAGCTTCCAGGTAAGATGTACTAAACAGCAGGTTTCAGAGCTGTGAGTTCTTTCTGTTCATTTCTTTGTCTTGAACTTTCCATGTGATGTCCTTGAAAATCTAAATGTATGTGTATGAATGTAATGCATGTGTGCATTGTATCTGCAAGTAACTTCACTGGGAGAATGAAAGCCAGGACTGTTCTCAGTAGTTTCTGTCAAGAGATTTTCCTTGTAATTGCTTGAGGTTGTATCCTGAGCATTTATCCCATTCTAAGTGCTAAATCTGTACTCAAGATTTGAGGAAGAGAATGTAGAGAGAGCTTTGTATGTTTCTTTTGTTGTCAATTCTTCTGAATAATAATGATTTCCCCTCTTGCTTCTCCCTTTAGTCTCATGGAAACCACCACCATCACCACGAAAAGGCTCCGCTTGAACAGAACAGAGGTCCTCTGTTCAAGCATCTTGTTTTTCAAAGTACAGAAGAGAGTGCTTACCTGGATTCTACATGGAAGGGACTTACAGCGCTGGGAGGCTTGTATTTTATGTTTCTAGCGGAGCATTTGATCACTTTAATAAAGCAGTTTAAAGACAAGAAGAAAAAGGTAGAGAAACAATTAATTTGAATTTGTTGTGTTGCACGATGACTTCTGAGTACGCTTTTATAGAAACAGAAGGATTGTGTATATTGTTATTGGATAAAGTAGCAATTGCTGACTAGATTAGCACTCTGTTCTATTTCTTTTGGTGGCTTTCAAACTAGGCAGTGGTTTGTTTCTTTTTTTTTTTTTTTTTTCTTTTTTGTGGTCATGTCAGGGAAGAGTTCAGAACTATCTCCTTAACCAGACAGGTAGTGTGTGTGAATTGTTTAATAAGCACACAGCTTTGTTTTAAGTTAGAAATTTGGGAAGTTATTGTTCATTATTGACTTCCTTCTGACTTCTTAAGGAGATCATAGGATTGTCTAATTCTTAAAATTGTTCATTTAAATCTAAAATTCAAATGTAATAAGATGGCCTTGTGCAGTTACTGCATTACTGCTGAAGGAGCACTTCCACAAAATGGGTAAGGGCAGCAGTCACTCTTTAGGCAGCTCAGCGTCTGTCTGCACTGTAGAGGGTGACAGAAGGTGATACCTTTAGTTGGCATTTTGCTTGGAAATACCACCTTGGAAGTTTTACTCTCTCCCAGAATGACAGTGCAACACAGCCTTCACATTACTATGCTCTGTTTTATGTGGAAGGTGTAAACAATAATTGATTTCAATGAGTTGTAAATGCTAGAACAGCAGATTCGGTGCAGAAGTTGTAAGCTCTTTTACTTGGATCCCAGCTGATTCTGTCAGTGTGGTTGATGCTGGAGTAAGTGAAACTAACTGAGTGACAGGATCACTTCCACCATCTTTAGTTAAATATATTCACAAGGAGATGATGTGAAGAGTTACAAGCAAAGCTAGTATTTTCTGTATCCCTATGTCAGCCACTGAGAATGGATTTCCTGTTGAACTATGGCACAAGGCTTTCTAAATAGCTATTGATTATAAACTTTTGTGATACTGACTTTAACAAGCCATGAATGAAGGTTTTTGTTTGGCTTTTCTTCAGTATGCCAGCATTAAGCATTACACTGATGTTACAGATCTAGCAGAGTTGTTCAGCATATTTTTGTGTTTTTTACTTATCAAATGAACCCTTCTATTTAGTCCTTTCACAGAAGTACATGGTATTTACTTATTCATGTTCATTTTTTCACTCCTTTGGAGCCTGGGGAACTTTTGTCTTTTTACTGTACTTAAAAGAGTTTCTAATGTTCCTCTTTGGCCTCCTTTATATGGCTTCCATGCTGTCCTCTTTCTGTGCAGGCTGCATAAATGTTGTGAATATAATATTGCTCATGTATATCCTGAAAAATAAGTAAAATATTCATAACTACAGTATTTTCTTTTGGAATAAGAAAAAAAATGAAGATGATGGAGAAAGTAAGAAGTTTTCAGCGAATGAAGAAAAGTTAGATACAGATGATCGTAAGTCTCAGTAATATCACTGCACAGTTGTTCTTGTGCAACAGCACAGCTTAAAAAAGCACTGTATCTGATTGATGGCAGTTTATTCATTTGATTCTTACTGTAGGTTGATCTCTACCTCCTTCCAACTTATCCAACCTTTCTAAAGAAGGTAGTGGATTCAGTTCAGAAACGAGTGTTTTGAAGTCATTCTGTGAAGCTCTACTGGCTATGCCTGTTGCATGTGTAGACGTACCTAATGACTTCTACGCTTCTGTTAGACTGCTAGATGTTGGATACAGAAGTCTAAATAACAGATCATGCATACTTAAGTCCAGTTTTCTGGGGGTTTGAATGTTTATTCTTAAAGTTGATAATCCATAATCCAAGATGTTCAAGTACTTCATCTGCAAATGGTCAGATGTCTTGAAGATCATGTTGCAAACAAAGCCACACCTCACTAGGTATTTGTAAGCTCTTGTAGTTAAGAGCAGCTTCCAGTTTTTTCAGGAGGTAGTTTTCTGTCTAAAGAAAGAGATCTCAGCAGTGCAGGAAAAGAACTGCAGGCAAGGAACGTAACGAGACCGGAGAGTTTGTCAGATAAAATAGTCAATGTTAGTGTGCTGTTAATGTTCACATGAGGACGCTTCACATTGTGTTTATATTCTTGTGTGTATATTTTCAGGTGCTGAAGCTTAACAAGTTGTGTATATTATTTATTTCTGTACAGAATGCAGGGAGGTTGCCGGAATTTTGCATGATATAATCTTGTTCTCTTGCATTCTTACTCCTTAGCCCAAAGATGAGTTAATGTCATATGCATTTCAGTCTTCTTTGTTCTGAGGCAATTGAGCTAACAGCTTTCACGCTATGAAATTTGAACATAGTGCCTTATGCTGTTGTACTTAAATTGCACTGTGTCTTAGATGAAAAGTTGTTTTTTTTTTAATTCTTCTTCTTTGACTTTTTAGGAGACATTTGTGGCCACAATGTATGGGACTGCTTTAGTGTTAGGAGACAAAGTAAAAGCTTTTTATTGTCATGACATAAGAATTTTCCCCCAAATCTGATTAAAACAAAAATTGGTTGTGGAAGCATTTGGTACAGCACACTGGGTTATCAACTTCAACTTTCAGACTTGCTATTTTTTTTCTTTATTCGACTTGCTCGTTTTATCTTTGCTTCCTGGATGACTTTAAAAATATATAATATTATGCTCTGGGTTTTTGTAACAGGGTCTGAGGGCTATCTAGGGACAGACTCACAAGATCCATCGCCCTTCATTTCTCAGCAGCCAGCGGTGCAAGAAGAAGAAGAAGTCATGATAGCTCATTCTCATCCAGAGGAGGCTGATAATGAATATGTATCCAGAGGCTGTAGGAACAAATGTCATTCTCACTTACACGATACTCTTGGACAGACAGATCATCTGAGTCATCACCACCACGACTACCATCACATTCTTCATCACCATCATCATCAGAACCATCATCCACACAGTCACAGCCAGCGCTATTCACGTGAAGAACTGAAGGATGCTGGCATAGCAACTCTAGCGTGGATGGTGATAATGGGAGATGGACTGCACAATTTCAGTGATGGCCTAGCAATTGGTAAGTGTTGGTTTGAACACAGCAGTCAGGTGTGATTGTAGCCAAACATTGCTGCCATGTGTCTTTTTTGCAATATTGTGGTAGTTTTTCCTCGTACTTGTACACGTCTGTGGAAGGTGAGTAGTGCTTTTTATGTTCTGGCAGTGTCTAAGTAGGACACTGGTTACCAACTGTCAGAAGAACAACTCATGGAGAGGATATCAGTAACATCAGTGTATGCTGCCTTTATGCAGATCTTTGCTTCAAGAATGTCTCCATTAACTGTAGAAGTATAGAATAAGTGCATTCCTTCAGGCACTCAGTGTCCTGAAAAGATTCAAAACAAGCTTAGTCTCTCTTTTTGAGAAAATGTTTAAAAAGCATTTTGTTTTTCTCAAATACTGATCTTGCTCAACTCAAAATCTTGCTCTTAGTTTTTTTTTTTTTTAATTTCAACGAAGTTTAATTATATTAAAGATGGTACAGTATTCTTATAAACGAAATGAAAACACTTTCCTTTTTGTTTAGATTCCTTTCTTTCCCTTCATGCATTATAGTCTTCAGTCTTTTTTGGCAGAGCTTTAACTGAAAGGCCTTTTTGGTATGACAAATGGACAGATTAATATTCGTGTTTTGGTCTCCTGGATTTGATCTTGGATCTTGGTGTCTCCTTCTTTCTAGAAGGAAAAATTTGATGGTAGAACTAAATTATAGAAAGGGAAGTTAAATCAGTAATCATCCTTAGTTCTTATGCTATTCTTTCATGATCTTGAATTCAATAATTAATGCTATTCCACATGGTGGTTTTGTTTTGTTTTACCTATTGGATTGGATTCATTACCAGCCTGTACAAAGTAATGAAGAGTCAGTTCAGCAGGAACAGTCTTTCTGTAAATTTTTACTGCATAGACAAGTCCATTCTTGTTTAAGCAGAAAGCTCAATAGTAACTGTTTTCTTACAGCAGTATTTGCAGTTGTTCAAGTTCAGTCAGTTCAAAGAATAATGTGAGAAGAGACCTTCTGTGATTTAATCTTTTATTTTTATTTCTTTATGAAAGTTGAAGTGTGGAATGTAAATTTTCTAGCAGATGAGTTCTGAATGTGTGGTAGAAGAAGGATTTGCATTCAAATTACATGCAGAATCAATTATCTCTTAGCATTTGGGAGGTTTAGAAAGGAACTATGATTTAATAGTTATGAAAAGAAAACTATGAGAGGCTTATAAAAGCTTACTGAGCAAGCGAGAGCAGTAGCCTTTAAAAGTTCTGCCATGTTCAGACTAGTGAAAGTGGAGATTATTATTATTTTTAAGTTCTGGATGAGTTTGAAAACCACCTACTTGATGTTTTGTCCATACTTATATATTTGTCCACTACTTATATAATATTTCTGCTTATTTATATGAAGATGTAAACATCTTCTGTGAAGATAAGTGAAGGGCTTTCTGGCTAAACTGAAGTTTGTTCATTTCATGTCATTTGTGAATTGGTAACTTCCGTCAGTTACTTTTTCCCTTAAATCTCTTGTGATTATTACATAGCAATGAGATTTAAGTGCATCATGGAACACTTGCACTGACTAACCTTTATGAAATTATGCTCTGTGATTTGAACTTTTCTATATAGCTTCAACTAAATAACTAACATGCAGAATGCTGTTTGTTTCCATACTAATCTTACCTATATTTTTTCTTCTATTTTTTGAGAGAAGTGATGAGTCAAATATAGTTGTAAATACCATAACACTATTAAATCAACTTCTTGGGGAGGAATACCATCAATCAGATTCATTAGTATAGTATTCAGTTTGCTGAAAATGTGTTAAAATATTAGTAGTCAGTGAAAAATAAAAACAAATATGCCTGTTCTTAAGCTTTTCTTTTGGTTGTTATGTATGAGTGCAGTATGTGCATTATCCAGCTTTCTCAACTACTTAGATGGTTGGTAACACAGTCAGCTTTTGTATGGTTTGCCTTGATGGCCACAAAATTAGGTTTACCTTTTGTGACTTAGCTGGACTCTTTTATTTTCACTTCCTTCTAATAAGTGATAAGACTGAAAACATTGTATAAAGGCAGTAATGTAGAGGAACTCCTAGATTATTGAGGATGCAGGCATGGGAGAAGGTAATTACTTTCTGCTTTCCTTATCTACTCTCTTCAAGAACTGAAGCCCAATTTAATTCTGAGGAGGTCTCTTGTCTTAGGAGATAACTGTAGCTATTCTGTCTCTTTCAAAATCTGACTCAGAAACTATAAAGCAGTATTTAGAAGAAAACAGATTGATGTGTAGAGAAGATTGATAGTTTTTACTAATAGCCTCTTTAGCTAGTCAAGTAGCAGTAACTTGTCACTTATGTGTTAATTACTGTGTAGACTGCCATGACTAAGTGTTTTGGAGTGCTGTGTGAAATACTCTTGTTGAGGTCTTAAATCAAAATAGCTTTAGTCTTGCACACTGCAGCTCACTGAATTGAACTTGGAAAATAGAACCATAAAATGGGATGCTCCTCGGAGGTCACTTGAAACACAGTGCTTGGAAACACTCGGTGGAGCCAGTCGTGGATCCGCACAGCCACCCCTTGGAAACTTCTATGGATGGATGTTTCCCCCCTTCTGTGGCCAGCCTTGTCTGCTGTTGCACCTCTCTCTTAATAATGAAGGTTTTATTTATGTGTAGCCTGAAGCTCCTGGTTGTAATTTGCAGCCTCTCTGACTCGTTATCTCTCACTGCTTTGAAGAGCTAGGCTCCTGCTTTTGTATTTGCACTGAAGGTGGCTGTGGGCTGCTGTTTATTCTAGTGAAAGAAGTGGAATTTAAATATGCACAGCTTCCTCAAGCTTTTAGACCATGTGCTGTAGGCTTCTGATCATCTTGTAAGCCTTTGGGCAGTATGCACATCCACCTTGAGCTATCTGTTTTAGGCTGTATTTCTATGCTAGATCAACTGAGCTTTGGTGGTCTCCATACCACCATGCTTGCAGTTGAGGAGGACTGCAAGCAGTGGGCTTCCTTATGCAATAGCTCTGGTTGGCACGTCTGCCTCAGGCATCTACCCTATGTGAGAGGGAATTGCCTCCCACTGGAAAGTTTTCTTCCCGTTGTGCTGGCCCTAATCTGACCATCTGAAGTGTTGGGTGAATATTTTGGGCTGAGCAGAACTCATTTTCCTGGCAACTGTTGCCAGAAGTGTGACAGTTTTTTGCCTAGGTGGAAGCTGTTGGAGTACTGGTGGAGAGATGGGCTTCTTTCCTGTGCTCTCACAGCTGTTGTAGCCATCCCTCTGCCAGCCCTACTCCTGGATCCCCTGCGTGCAAGCAGCTACAAATGACTCCTCTTTGCAGCATGGTATTGCGCTTATTTCAGAAATCAGTGAAATTTGGTTTGCTTTAGAGGATTAGAGGGCATTATGTTGCTTTGGGGTGACATGTATCAATCTTAAAAACTTCAGTGACACTTCTGAATGCTTGCTGAAACATAAGAAGGTTTGAGTGAGAATAATTTTGTCCTAACTTAATAAGAAGCTGCAACAGTATGTCAGCACTTGATGACTGAATATGACCTAATGTCCTTTTTCTGCCTTTCTGTAGGAGCAGCCTTTACTGAAGGTTTATCAAGTGGTTTAAGCACGTCTGTGGCTGTGTTTTGCCATGAATTACCTCATGAGCTAGGTAAGACCCCGATATTTCAGTATGCTGCAGCCACCCAGGTACTCGCAGGTGCGCTCTGGGGAATTGTAGGTTATTTTATTCTGTTTTACAGTACGGTTTCTTGATAAGTCAATTCAGCCGTATCAGACTGTTTACTCAATGATACTTTTATTTAAAATAATGTTTATGAACTGCATTAATATTCCTTTAAAAAAATCTAAACGTCTCTGCTACCATGTTTAATTCTCTTGTAGAATTTTACAAATTGTTCTGCTTAGTTTGTATTTTATTCTTCATAGCACAGATAGCGAATGGCAGAAGAGTACATGTTAGCATTTGCTTTTGTCATATCTGTTTAATTTTATTCTCATGTGCTATTGAAATTAAGATTACAACTAGTCAGAATCCTTTCTGTGTAGTATGTGCTGCTTTTTCCACTAAGGTAGTTCCTCACTTAAATTAGAGCTACTTAAGATATTCTAAAATGCTTTCTTTTTTAAGTCTAAGTGATCAAAATTCATGACCACAATTGCTTATAGGAATGCCCATAAGCTTGCTGTTATGCCCTGCTCCTGAGAGCAGAACTTGACTTTTTGGTTGAGCTCTGGAGAAGAAGCAGCTCAGGGGAGACCTTAGCACTATCTACAGTTCTCTGAAAGGGGGTTGTGGCGAGGTGGGGGTTGGCCTCTTCTGTTACTATTGATTGGACAAGGGGGAATGGCCCCAGGCTGCACCAAGGGAGATTCAGGTTGGATGTCAAGAAAAATTTCTTCTCAGGAAGAGTGGTCAGATGCTGGCAAGGGCTGCCCAGGGAGGTGGTGGAGTCACCAACCCCAGAGGTGTTCAAGAAATATTGAGATGTTGTACTGAGGGATGTGGTTTAGTGAGGAAATGGTGATTTGGTGATAGGTGGATGGTTGGACTTGGGTGATCTTGGAGGTCTTTTCCAACCTCGGTGATTCTATGATCTCCTTTCCAGTTGTTGAAGCATTTTGAACATGTAACTGATAGTTCTTTCTTGGTCACCGTGGTCTTACCTGGTGTACAGAATGAGGAAAGAACAGTTTGCTCACACTTCTTAAACTGGTTTAATCCTCTAGAAAGTGGACTGCTCAATTACATTTAATGGAGCTTGTAAACCAGCATGTATATATCAAACTATTTATTAAATGATACATCTGGCTGTCTGTACAATCATGTTGTAGAAATAAATTACTTTCTCTGGAGAACATTTGTGGTTTTATGGCAGGGAAGAAATTATCTTGTTCATCTCAATATAAATTCTGTAGGAATTACACAACTTGTATTAACTACACATACAAGGTGTCATTAATACAAGCGTACAAAATAAGTTCATGTTATACATCCAGTGCTTTGGAGTCAAATGTTGTTTGCTTTCAGGCAAGAAATCTTTCTAAAATTTAAATCCTGCTATTTCGGCCAACGCAGAAAACTTACTGTGAATACCTTGTTTACCAGAGAACATGGAATGAAACAAATTGGGCTAGCTGATATTAACTGGGGAAGAAATTAGATCTTCTTGTTCTTAATGCTAAGCAATGTTCATAATGTTACACCAGTTAATCTTAATTGTATCATCTTGTGGGGAAAAGCTGTTGTAACAAACTTCTCAACTCCACTTTGGAAACTGCTTTTAATTATTTTAACTGGAGAGAGGTTACTTTTTTTTTTTTTTTTTAATTAGAACCAATTTATTATTTTTTTTTTCCAAGTAGTAAGCTTGCATTATTTTAGTCCCTTTTGTGTAGATACATTATACTGATCTTAGGACAGATTTCTACTCTGAATGATGGGAGATCTTTCTGGCTGGTAACTGATCAGTCTTTTAAACAAAATTAAGGCTTTAAGGGTCACTTAAAAATAGAAAGCTACAGTTAAAATACTAAGAAAAGTTACAAAATAAAAGGAATTATCTTGGTAACATTGATTTAATCAAATAAGTGGGAATGCTTTTTTTTAGGAACTGACTTGGGGTGCACGTACATATCAGGTAGAGCAGTACGTTGGTTGAAAGGCAAACTACACTAAAAGCTTTTCCTTTCAAAAATCATGAAAACATAAGGCTGTGAACTTGCTGCACTTGTTCTTGTGTATTTTAATTGTTTTCCCACTGTTTTCTAACTTTCTGAAGGAAAACGTAAGGCAAATGACAACTTTATCACTTCATCTTATAAGAAAGAGAAAATATGACACGCTGCAATAGCTTCCTGGGGGTGTAAACTTCTGTTTTCTGCTGCTGTAGGAGATTTTGCCGTGCTTCTAAAAGCTGGCATGACCGTCAAGCAAGCTGTGCTTTACAATGCCCTGTCAGCAATGTTGGCCTACCTTGGAATGGCAACTGGGATACTCATTGGTCATTACGCAGACAATGTCTCCATGTGGATATTTGCACTTACTGCTGGCTTATTCATGTATGTGGCACTTGTGGATATGGTAAGTGGTTGTGTTTACGTATCCTGCGTTACACATAACATAGTGTAAGAATTGATATCAATTAAACTTTGGCCATAAATTATTCTACTCTCTCTTCTTCAACATTTTTTGGTGCTTGAAGGGACTCAGAAGTGCTCAGTTAAATGTCCAGATGCAAGACTGCTTTTAGTTAGATGACTGTTGGTGTAGAATGTAGCAGATGGTGTGCAACTTGTAGTCTTGCTGGCTTTTTCCACCACCAAACGTGGTTTGGATTTTGCAGCAAATCATTAGCACTTCTTTTGGTGAAGCCAAGATTGTATTAAAATCTCTCCTGTATCTCAGAATTATGCTTGTACAGAAGTACAAGGTGCTTAATGGATGTTCATGGAAGATTAAGTGTCGTTTTAAGAATAAAATGCTTGGTGTGGCTTGATAAAATCAGTTGGTAAATAAGCCAGCCATTTACTCCAAGCATAATTAAAGCATCAGCATAATTATAATGAAAACAGTAATTAGACCACTACCTGGTCTAATACTCTGGACCTACACACCACTACTGTGTGTGTAAATAGCTTACATGAAAGTAGACAGATAATGTTACTCATGTTGAGTGACACCTGATTCATGAAGTAGTATTAATGCAGCCAACAGAAAAGTCTTGAGGAGTAAGACTCAGCCATCGTGCGCCACATCATTGAAGAACTGTTCTAAATGACTGCTTATTTTGAAGGCATTTAACACTCTCTTGTTCATTTAGGTGCCTGAAATGCTCCACAATGATGCTAGTGATCACGGATGTAGCCGCTGGGGATACTTCCTGTTACAGAATGCTGGGATTCTCTTGGGTTTTGGGATAATGCTGCTCATCTCGGTGTTTGAACATAAAATTGTATTCAGCATAAACCTGTAATTTTGCCAGGCTAAAGATTGGTGTTAAGTTATAATTGGTAGTTGTTGTTTTTATTCCATAATGGAGGGGTACACTTGGTATAGTCTAGGTATTTCTATTGGTGTGTTTTGTTGTTGTCCTTGGGTCTTTCAATCTCCAGCCCTTTTCTCTCCCATAGCAATGAGAACTGTAAGGATTTTCACTCGGAATGTAGTGTTGCATACGGTACCATGACAAGACAAACTCAGTAAGTCATAGTGAGTGCCAAATCTATTAATGCATTGTCTCCTGTGGTGGGGGCCAAGGTGTTTTTGTGAATTTATTTACTGTATGTAAATATATGCAACAGTGGCTTTTTTTTTTTTTACTTCATGTTTTTGTTGGTATAAAGAAATAAAATGTCAGTGGTTCTTATTCTACCACAATCAAAACCAGTGAACAGAGAGCACAGTGAGCAGTGTAAAGCAACAAAGACATGCAGTACGTAGTGTGGATTTATACTGGTAGAAACTGATCTCTGTCCACTTTGTTTACAGGGGGTGGCAGATGAGCTCACCCCATCCTCTTGGTGGTGCTTCTCCTTGTGGGTTCTGTTTCCTACTCCAGTTGGTTTCTACTGCAAATGATTTCATGTGAAATTGTTTGATTGAAGTGTTTGTGACAAGTATGTTTCACCTGTTTCTTCCCCACTGATAGCAGTTGCTCTTCACTGAATCCTCAAACTGGCAAGAGCAGTATGGCCATTACACTGTAAAATGATCCTGTAGCTGTAGTATACTTGAATGCCGTTAAAGAGACTTTTAAAGCAGTGTTCTATCTCATTTATGCTGCCTGAAAGGGTGAAGTTATATCACAGTTTTTGATATCATGGGGAGTAGTGTTTGTAGTCCTTTGCTCAGCCTTCTTGATTTGGTTTGGGAAACGGGATGACTGGGAGAGCTGAATTCATCTAGTTCTGCATAATAACATAAGGTAAACCTGTGCTTGCAGAACAGTTGCATCCTTTCAGCTAAAGCTGGAAGATCCAAAAAGCAAGCTTTCTGACAGCGCGTCTACAGAAGCAGAATATGAAGAGTAAACCGTATGTACGTGAGTGTGTGGTTTGAGCTTACGGCTATGGTCTTAGTATCTCAACCACCCTGAAAGTATCCGTAGGAAGGAAAGATGGAAAGGCCAATTGTCAAAACAAAAACAAAACAAAAAAATAATCACACTCTGACAAGCAGAATCCTGCATTTACAACGTTGCAGAATTGGCAGGAAATGTGAGCATTACATTACTGTGTGCCTCAACTTTTACATAGTAAGGTACGCTATCTTAACTCGCTTACTTAAAACCAGAAATAATCAATTACAGTTTTTCTCTGATTCAACTTTACCACTGCTTCAAATCTTCAGCTGAGTAAAAAGCTTGAACGAAGAGGACGTATTTGATGATCCCGTGTCTGACAAGTTAAAGCAGTCTGGCATATGGTGGTCTGTCATTAAAATGAAAGCCAAAACTGTCGCATCAAAAATGGGTGTTTGGAATGAATTGTAAGATTTGGTTTTTGTTGTTTGTTTCTTTCTTTAACTGGATGAGAAACAGTGTATGCAGGCAGTGAGCTGTTACTTTTTTCTTTTTTTTTTTAACCTCCCTTCAATTCTTTACTCAGGTTAAGCAGGCAGATTTATTTAAACTGCTTTCCACAGTGATGAAATACTGTTCTATCAATGTTTCTCAAGCAAGCCAAAATAATCAGCATAGATCTGTTAAGGTTTTGATGCCAGTGCCAGAGCTCATACTGAAGGATTAAATGAGAACAGATTTTTTTCAGACTTGTGTGGTGAATACTTACCCTTTATTTTTTTTAACTCTGAAATAAGCTATGGCTTGAACTTCATTTCTGTGCTTTTTTTTAAGAAGGTCAGGTATCAATCATGCCATAACAGTGGAAAATCACAGAAGGAAAATTAGTGTGCTCAGTAAAATATTTACAACATCTGAATTGGGAACAGAAGAAAAAGGAGCAAATCAAGCTCACTTTTCCTATCCTGCAAGAGGTTACATATCTAGAAGTTGGGAGAACTGTGCTGATGATTCCCTTGCAACTTTTTCCTTTTGAAAGCAGCGTGAGCAAAGCTTGTTATCATTCTCCAGATTGCCTGATCTGAAGGGACCTCAGCCTCAAAGGAGATGCTTGTTTCTTAAATCTTCCTGTAGTCAGCATTTGGCCAGAGTCTTTGGAACAGGATTTGTCTTGTTTCCTTTGAAGTCAGGAGGCAAAGGAAGAATAATGCATCCTAAGGGGAGCACTAAGGTGTGCTGGAGTCTTGTCCAACTCCAACAAATCTGCACATTATGAACCTGAGCAGTTGTTAGGAGAGAAGGACAGGCTTCTCTTTTAGAGCGCTCGTTTCATCTCTAACAAGAATACTGACAAAACACAGGTGCATCCTTTCCCTTCATCGAGTGCTTTACCTTTTTTCTTTTTTTCTTTCCTTTGTTCTGCCTTTTGGTGAACCCTCTGTACTTCCTTCAGAAGCTCACCTCTGAGCAAACAGCGGAAGGAGGCTGCCAGAAGGAGTCCTGCAGTTTGTGGTGCAGAGGAACCATACTGTGGTACAACAGCCATCTGCTATGTTTTTTGTAGCATCTCCTTGATCTGCCATTCTTTGCTTCCTCTTTTTGCTGGTTCTCACAGCAGTCTTATTCTCACGTTCCGGAGACTGAATTAGGAAAGTTACACATATCCCACCTGTTGCTTCTCTTTCTTCCCTGCTTATAAACTGTTAGCTCACTTGAACTTGCTCTAAAGGTAAAGTAACTCCAAATTTCTTTCAAACAATCTAAATTCTTGTGGCAGTTTTGCCCTAACACAGTTAGGACCATTTCCAAACTTACAGCTAAAGCTGTGCCTACAGCCCCACAGCTCATCTTTCTCTTTTCTCTGCTACTCCAAGTGTTTGAATGTCATCGTCTTTGACTCCTAGTAAGCTGTTCAGTTGCTGGCATGTGCACATCACTGCCACCTTCTTCAGAAAAATGAACAAGTCTGAAAGAACACTCCCATCCCCTCACACCCCCGTCAATACTGAAGCTTCCATACCTTGACCAGTTGGTGCCTTCTTCACTGACCTTTAACCTGAGTGGTCCCAGTCAATCCACATCTTAGAACATAGCCACTCTTCTCCCTCTGGAAGTTTCTTCTGAGTATTGTAGAATTGCAGTATCTGACTTTGGTTGTGCCCTGTCTAAGCAGGTCTTGCTTTTCCTGGGGCAGAGCTGATGTGCTCCAGTTCTGGCTTCTGCATTGCTTCTCATGAGCAAGATGTGTTTCCAGTCAGAACACTCGGCAAGTCTTCTCTCCCCCTTCCCTCTGAGCCCCTCACAGCTCTGTTACATGCATAAATACTGGAGCCTCCTGGTGGGTGCTGTAGGATTTGGACACTATGGTTGTCTTTTGCCTTCTGCTGTGCACCCTCAGCCATCAGAGAAATTGGACATACACACTTCCTTGGTTGTGAGCTATTTCAGATGTGGGTGGCTCCTGACTCAGTTTGCTTTGAATTCTCGCGGTTTCTGTTGGCCTACAGCCTTAATTGCTGAAGTCAGAAGGACTTCTCTTGTCTGTGTGGTAGATGGGAGATAGGAAGCAGACGTTTTGCTGAGTGTCCCCTATGAGATGGTTAGATTGATGACTATACAGCTATAAATCCACAGCTTCTGGGCTGTGCTTCCTGTGAATTGTTGGCTGGCTTGCAATGAGAGAAACTGACGTGAAAATATCTGTAGATCAAAATACATTACTAATAAACCAATGTGGAAAATAAACCTGCCTGCAGTAGGTGTGGGAAAGAGGGTGAGATGATGAGCTGGCAGTGAGCCCTCGGGTTGGCTTGGTGCTCCAGCACATTCATCTCTGGTGGGTGCGACCAGTGACTGCAAGACACTATGTGAGCAAACCAACGATGGTCTGAAATGTGCTGTTTGTAGCAGTGAGGTGACAAAGCTGGCCCACATTTTCATTGTCAGCCTTTAGCAGAAGCAAAGCTTCTACTTCTTAAAGGTACTTGCAGTGAAAGTTCTTATGCTTTGGTAGAGGGATAGAGCAGAGTCTCTAAGCTGCCTTTTATTTTTATGCATTGATGTTTCTGAGCAGCTTGTGGTAATGTGCCTGCCTGCTGTGGCTGATAAATGGGAGCACCTTTTTTTATGTGTCCTTGTTAACCACGGTACAGAGCTGAGTGTTGAACGCAGCTGTATCCACCTTATGTAGTGCCTGCGCTGGCCTTAGGCAAACAGGGCAAGGAAGGGTGGATTCTAAGTAATTTGCATTGTGCCACATTCTTCTTAATCTTTTGGCTTGTCTGTATATGTGACATCAGTCATGTGCTGTCCTTACTTGCAGCAGGAATTCCACTGCGCATATGTCAGTCCTTGCCTGAGTTCTTGGCCTGCTTGGGTCAAGCAGTGTGGCTGTTCTGTATTGATGGGGAATATTGTGCCGGCACATAATGAATTTTGTTTAAAAAGCATTCAAGGCTACAAGGTGTAAATCCAAGTGGCTCTTCTGCTGCATGAATTCAGGGTCAAGTGTAATTACAACTTCTGTAGAAAACTAGTTTGTTCTGTTTGCCACAAATAGAAGCAGAAACCATGTTTTCATGCAGTTGTTCTTACTTGAAATGGGGTCTTGGTACATTTAAACAATTGTTATTGCTGCCATTGTATTGCTGCGTGCTTGATGGAATAAACCACTGAACAAAGTGCTGGTTTTTGTGTTTATTTGGGACCTCAGAGGGGTTGGGGTTGGAAGGGCCCTCAAAGCCCACCCATCCCCGTGGGCAGGGCTGCTCAGGGTCCCATCCAGCCTGGCCTTGAGTGCCTCCAGGGATGGGGCACCACAGCTTCTCTGGGCAGCTGTGCCAGCACCTCCCTGCACTCTGAGTAATTAATTTCTTTCTGACATTTAATCCAAATCTCCCTTTTATTTTACTGCCCTTACCCCTCCTCCTGTCCCTATCTATCAGACTTTCTTCATGGTCTATTTCCCTCCTGTTTATAAGCTCCCTTTAAGTAGCAGAAGGCTGTAATGATGTCTTTCCCCAGCCTTCTCTGCCCTGAACAAGCTCTCCATAGCTGCAGCTCCCTGTGCAGAATCGTGCCCTCCTCTGAACCCGCTCCAGCAGCTCCTCCTCGTGCTGAGGTCCTGGACGCAGTACCGCAGCTGTGCCCTCGCAGCGTTAATTCTTTCTTCCGCTTTTCCCCGCTTTGGGAGCGCACTTTTAATTACGCGCGATGGCGCCGCGCACCCACCATGGGGCGCCGCTCCGCAGGGCGGGAACCGCTCCCGGCGCGGGGCGGGGCTGCGCGTGCGCCGTGCGAGCGGCAGCATGGCGGCGGCCGAGACGTGGGGCGCGGCGCGGTACTTCACGCGCTGGTACAAGGCAGGTGCGGCGCGGCCGGGCGGGCGGGATGGAGCTTGCCGGGGCGTCACCCTCACCCGTGTTTGTGGCCTCTCGCAGACGTGAAGGGGCGGCCGTGCGAGGACTTCTGCGTGCTGCAGCACTCCAACAGGCGAGTTGCCGGGCGGGGCGCGGGGTATTGCTCCCCCGGGCCCGGCGCCCTCTGGCGGCGTTGCGCGGCCGGGGCGGCCACGGGGCCGACTGTTCGCGTTGCGCCCGCGCTGCCCCGCCGCTCTGCGAGGGGGTGGGGGTGACGCCGGGCCCGATGCCCGCACCTGAAGCTCGACTGTAGGTATTTATCTACTTACAATGCTACGGGTACGGGCAGAGACAGCGCTGGAGCTGCTCCGAGCGCTCAGGGTACGGCTTTGCACCGCTACGGTACGGTAACTGTCGTTCCTGTTGCAGAATCTGCGTCATAACGTTGGCAGAAGCCCACCCTCTTCTTCAGCACGGAAGAACAATTACAAGCATTAATTACCAAATCAGTCCTAATTGTAGCAGGCTTCAGAATAAAGTCTCTGGGAAGTCCAAAAGGGTACGTGTGCGGGGCTTTCTGATTTGCTTAGTTCTTGTCTGTCTCTCTCTCACTGCCTGGGACTCTCCCTCCTTCCCAGATTGACCCCTGGCAGTGACCCATCCTTTTTATTTTCAGCCCTCTGCAGGTAATTGTATTCAGACTTGAGAGAGAGACCCCCAGCCCGGAGGGTACAGGCTCTGAAGCACTGAGGGGTGCCAGTGTTGCTCCAACTGCTGCTAACAGTCTCTGCTAAGTCAATTTTGTAGAGTATACAGAGACACTTCAATATTCCTTAATAGATACAAACTTGTTTTCATAAAATGCCAAGGATTTGGAGATTGTTTTGGTGGCTTTTTTTAATCGCAGACCTCTGGTCTGTGACAGATGACAGAATGAGGGGAAATGGCCTCAAGTTGCACCAGGGTAATTTTAGGTTGGATATCAGGAAAAACTTTACAAGAAAGGGTTTTTAAGCACTGAATGAAATAGGCTCCCCAGGGAGGTGGTTGAGTCCCCATCCCTGGATGTGTTTAAAAACTGGATGTGGTGCTCAGGGACATGATTTAGCAGGGGGCTGTTAGAGTTAGGGAAGCATGGTTGGACTTGATTGATGATCTTTAAGGTCTTTTCCAACCTGAGCAACTCTATGATTCTCATCTACTCCTGTAAGGAAGTATAAATATGGAGCCCCTAATGACCTGTAGCTATTCTCCTTACTTTGTTCTGTAATTCACCAACTTGTGTTATTGCTGATGTTTATGAAACTTTAAGAAGAGCTGGATAATTAGAAACACACATGTATTTTTTTCCACATGCAGGGAGCTCAGTTTTTAACAGAACTTGCCCCGCTCTGCAGGATATCCTCATCAGATGGAGAAGAATATACCATTTATAGGTAAGGATTTTTACGCTCCCACCCCCATCCTGACATACTGTGCACTTTTACTGAGTCTGAATACTTTTGCAGTTGTATACGAGGGCGACTGATAGAAGTGAATGAAAACATTCTTAGCAATCCAGCGCTTCTGCAAGAAAAGGTGAGAAGCTTTTTAATTCTTAGCCTTTATTTTACTACTTCAGTGCTAACATCATTCCTCCATTTTAGCCATCAACTGAGGGATACATTGCAGTGGTTCTACCCAAATTTGAAGAGAGCAAGAGCATAACTCAAGGACTTCTGACACCAGAAGAATACAAGGAAGTTTTACTGAAACGTCAGAATTCTTCTTCAGGAAGTTAATTATACAGGCTAAATAAACTGCTTTTACATTGTAACTTTCATGGCATTGAAAGGTGTGTCTACTTATAAAAGTGGAACTTGACATATTTGTTTTATTCTTGTATGAAACAGGCAAAATAGTTTGTAGTTTGTATATTAAAATTGTTTTCTCTTACAGCCGTAGTACGACAAATTTTTTATGTAAGCACAATTTTGGAGAGTAGTTATGTTCCAGGGATCTCTTTGCTCCTGGCTCAATGCAAACATAACACATAGAGAAAAAGCACAATTGAGCTGTTAGGTAATTTAGCCCTATGTTGTATTAGTTTGGCTTGCCAAAGGTGAATTGAAAATAAAATGCAATAGGAGCCTGCCTAAAACAAACAGTTAACCTTGAAAACAAGCATTTCACATCAGGTTACGATTCCTAGCATCCTGAAGTCAAATAATGCCCTTTTTATAGAGGTTTCTCATAATCAGTATCTATTTACTTCAGTTTTAAATGCTGTAATGTAAAGTCTACATGTAAAGCTTCAGTGGTTCTACAGGCAATTCAAATTCTGCTCGGTAAAGTTTAATCATAAAGGAAGCAACAACTGCCATCTACAGATAGAGACAGTGAAAGAAAAAGGGTTTTAGTCAAGAGTCTTAATCACTTAGGAGTACACTTTGGAAATATGAATAATGTCAGCAAAACTAAGATTCAGTGTCAAGCTCTCCCCAGAGTGTTTTTTCCTTAGGACTGAACTTCATTGTAGTATAACTAAATATTTCAGTGCTTTAGGCCACAACCTTTCAGACTACATTCCTGAATGGGCTTCATAAATCCATAAACTGAATTGGGCCAGAGAGGAGTTTACAAACATCAGCAGTAGTGTTACACAGAGCACAGGGTTCTTTACGTGAAAGGTCTGTTAGCAGCATCTTTGGGTTGAAACATCCATTAAGACATTCGTAAGCATTAATTACAAAACCAGTATCAATAGTGAGCGTAGGAAATTCATTCACATTATGAAAATACATAATGATTACACTAGTTGGTGCTGTCATTGCTAAGTAACGGGACATCTATTAGATGTGACAAAGGTCAATAGGTTTAATTCAAATTAACCTGGTTTGACTTTCCACAAATGAAAGCAAAATTGAAACTTCAGCAAGAGTTATTTTCCCTAATGGAGCTTCTGCAGTTTCTAAGTGCTGTAATTACTTGCTCTCTAAAAATGTCATTTTAGTTACGTGATTTTCCAAAGATTTGATACCAAACATCTCCACTCTCCTTTCTGGAGCGTGTACGTTTGTACTGGTTCTTGTTCTGCCTTCTTTCCACGGGGGAGCAGGCTTGAGATAGCCATTCCCTGCTTTATTCTGTATACAAAGACAACATATTATAAAAAGCAAGCAAACATACACAAAAACAAACAAAAAATCCCAAGTTTAAAATACTGCAGACAGACCAAGGACTCACCTTTCTCATTAATTTGCTGCAAACTGGAAGAAGTTGACATAACAGAGTCATCACATTCCTTGTTTTCTGAATGCATGCATCAACCTATACAAGACAGTTACAGTTGAGTAAGACCACTGATCACTTCCATTAGGCAACATGAGATGAAAAATCTATTTTGAGCTTGAAATGAATACGAAGGATAAACACAAATCCAATCTTTTCTAGTCTAAAGGTTTTGTCAGCCTGCTCAACTTCCTGTAGCCTGATGCAGCAGCATCCCTTCTGTTAAACCAAGGCAGGAGCTGTGAAGGAGAAGAGAATGATGCACATCCCAGGAGAGGGAGCTAAAAATAATATTAAAAGAGTAATATACATGTCTTGGAAATAAAACTCTCACTATTTAAGTGTGCTTATCACAGCTCTTCATCTGTTTTTTTTTGTTTGTTTGTTTGTTTTTTGGTTTTGTTTTTTAAATTCTTTTCAGCATGATTTTAGAAAGCAGTGCATCACAGAAGCCTTACTTTGATATGAGTTACATTAAAACTATGCAATTATCGGAACTTAAGCCAAAAGCACAGCACAGATCATTAGGTTTAGGCTGTCCAGAAGCATTAATTTGATAGCCTTTAGCACTATGTACCTATAGAGTCTGGAGCTCCCGTTTAGTCTAGCTAGAGCATGTGGAAGAAACCAAGCAACAGCCCTCAGGTGCTCAGTTTGGGTTTGATTCCTTTGGATGGCGTAGCTGGTATCAGAACTGAGCTGTTTCTCCTACAAAGTGGAAACATCTCTTACAGAGCTAGTGGGAAACCAACACCCAGGTGTACAGGACTGCTCTTCTTAAGAAGTTCTGCTTCTGTTTGCTGCTATCATTTGTAGACCATTGTAATCATGGTAACAGTGCAGAAACTTTTAAGACAACTATGTAAAAGTTGATGTATAACAACTATTAGGATGGACTCTGCCTTTGGAGAAGCAGCATACATTTTAATAACAGAGAGTATTTAGGGATTGGAATTTATGTTTATCTAAAGCATCAATTACAAGATCATAACTAATTATGACAACGGTAGTACAAATTACCTTCATTAGTACACTTTGAGCACTGAAGTCTTT